CCCAAGTCACGCTGAGGGACCCTCCCGAGTGCACAAATTTTTGTGCACTGGCCTCTAGTTGAATAATAAAAGTGTAATTAAGTATCAAAATCCCACCTCTTAGTTTTCTTATATGTTATTGGCATAAATATTAGACTTTTACCAAAACAGCTTTAATTGCAAGCATTAGAATCATAGCTTATTTTCCCTCCTTTGATAATGCCTATACAAACAACCACTTTACAAGTAATAATTTATTTTACTATATTCCAAAACTTCTGTGTAGGAGATTGGTTATTTGTGATTAGGATAAATGACATAGATGCAATTATTAGTCATTTATAATGCTTTTGTACCTTTGTAGGCACTCTCAGATGGACAGTTCTTTCCCAATGATATTTTACAAGTTTTGCCATTTTTATTGATGTTTTATGTTACTTAATTATAGGATAATTATAGAAAAAGTAGCTAAATGAGTTGCATTTATCTTCATGTTGAACATGCCAAAACAGTGTCATTTCAGAAAGAAAATAATTAGCTCAGTTTTTTTAATAATTAGCTATGAAATATAAATATTAGCTAAAGGGGAAAAAAATTAGAGAACTTTAAAAGTCCAGTATTCACCAGTTAAAAACAGTAAAGAGAAAGCATTCACAGAAAGCAAATGTAGGGTGAAATCCTAATTTAATTTTCAGCTTCAGAATATTATTTTCTCATGACTTTTTCTTCTAAGGTATTTTTTTCTATACAACCAAAACAAATACAAATAGTAAAATCTATTGACACAAGAAATAAGTCTAGAATTCTATAGCATTTACTTTTCTCTTTCATCAAATTAAGTTGCTAATAATTTCTACATGAAAGATGGACTTATCTACACTAATAAAAGAGAAACATGGTAATTGGTGTACGACCGCTACCCTTTTCATTGGCTAATCAGTGAGATATGCAAATTAACTGTCAGCCAAGATGGTGGCTGGCAGCCAGGCAGCTTGAAACTAACATGAGGCTTTCTTGCTTCAGTGAGGGGGAAACCAACGTTCCCCCGCCTGCCTTGCTGGCCTCTGAGCCTGCAGTTTCAAACATTGTAACAAATATAGAAGCTAAACAAAACCCCAGAAACCTGCTTTCAGCGACGGGATCTCAGAGCTGGAGTTATACATTGTTTCGATTATAGAACCGAAACAAACCAGATACCTGCTTTCAGCAGCAGAGGCC